CCCCTTGGGGGTGTGAAGTAGGCGATGATTACTGATATCCAAGGAACTGCTATTGATGCTAAAGCAGTGAGTAAAACGCGGTTATGTATGTGTTTTTTATATTCGTCGTCAAGTAATTTCTTCACAATTATTTCGCCCTTTCTTATCACGCGCTTAGGATCTCTTACTAACAATTTTCCATGAACTGTTCTCCTATAGATTGCAGGCAATGTCCAAGCTAATGCTAATGGTATATATGGCCAATCCTCACAAATACTCGTCATTGCCAGCCTTGCAATTGCTATAGTCGCACCGAGCACAATGTAGTATGCTGACGCTAACGAAGACAATCTTTCCAGCACAGATGCATTTGCTGAGCAAGATTCCAATCTTATCTTCAGAGATGAATTTGCTATGTAAGCGTCCGATCTTTCCTGTACATTTATACTAGATCCAAAGTCCACCTTCTCATTTTCATTCTCATTCTCATTCTCCTTCTTATCATCAAGTATATATATTCGCATAGCATGATGTCCGAAGGGTCTGTGAGTGATTCCTTTTCCATCTTCTCCAATAAAATAAGTTTTTGGGAGCCAATATAGCACTGTTTCGTCGATCTTTATGTTGCAGGTGTAAAACAATCCCAAAAAGGGACAAGCAAGGCATTCTAATATTCGCCTTAGCTTTGTTATAAAAGTACCCTTAGGGGACGCTCCTATTGTTGCTATAGCTGGTAAGCAACCTAAGACATATTGGGATAAAGGGTTTTGTAATCTATTTAATAAGTTTTGTACAAAAAATTTACTTGTTGCCATCTAAAATAGAAAAACAATTTTTTAAAAAAACTATCGTATACGTATTCATATAAATATTATGAACAGGACAGGATATGCGACAAAAAATGAGATGTTCTCTTGAAATCACTAGTACATGTACAACATGTACCGGTACGCCAATAATGAGTACAAGACAGGAAGACGATCATGATGTACAGATACGGCACATGCATTGTCTTATATTGTTGTCAGTAATTCAAACTCTCCAATAGAATAAAAAACTTTGCGTAATGGAAATTCTCGTTTAAGTTTACAATGCATATTTGGGAGGATATGAAATCTGTGAGATCTCATAGTTTTACACAATCTCATTGTTCGCATCATCTGTCAGATTTGCCTTTTTAAAAAGCCTAATTAGTGTTAGTACATGTACATGTATAATAATAATTAATTAATGAAAATGAGTCATACACATAGAGCAGATACGCAAAGGAGTAATCTTTGATCATTATATGGTGCATAAAATCTAAAATCATCGAACGTTTGTATTTTATAAAATGTATAAAGTTCTTTAAAAAGAAGTAAATATGCTAGAAAAGGCCTATTCTATCATATTCATGGATTAAATTTTGTATTACTTTTTAGTATAGTAAAGAAGTTTATCCATTTTATAAAATACAAACGTTTGATGACTTTAGATTTTATGCACCATACATATATCAAGGATAATGATAACATATACATGTAATAACCGTTTCTTATACGCATGTGAGAAATACATGTATCGGTATACTGTACATAGATTTAAACTCTTTCGACAACTAATAATCTTATTTATAACACTAACCATAACCTTTAACTCTCCAGCAATAACACTTACGCTTACCTTTAACTGTGTTCTAACTTGGCTTATTTCCATTTACATATATAACCGACGCACATCCAGCACACGCATGCATATACATGTATCAGGAAGTTTTTGAAAGTGTAACACAACACATTAAATGTATTGTTCTACAAACCCGAAATTAGTAACATGATATGTATTAAACAATGCAGTTGATACGTACATGTATAAGTATTAATCAATGTGTTGTTCTATACTTTCAGTATTGGTTTACTAATTAAAAGTGTAAAACTACATAGGTTTGTAAAGCGACATATTTAATGTGTTCCTTTACACTTTCAAAAACTGTCCGATGACGTATTTCTTTTTGTGTTTTAGGAATACAGCATTTTCCAAGGTTAAGTATTGTTAAAATAAAATATTGAAAGGAATATAATTATTAAATTAGGTTTTATGAATAGAACATTTTTCTATGTTTCTGGATTCCATGTCAATAATAAATATATTATAGATATTTATTTTAGATATGATGTGTGTGTCATTTTGGAACTCCAAAATGACGCAGTTGTATCTTTGTACAGAAATTCAAATTATTGTAATTATTGTAATAAATGTTAAATATGTTTAGCATTAATGTTAGTAATTTCTTTGTGCCAAAGTAATACAAAGTACGTGTCAAATACGTGTGGTTTAGGTTGTTATTTATGGGCTCGAAATGGATATTCCAGCACGAGCTGAAACGCGAAAAAAAAGAAATACAGGAAGGTAAAATTACATTTATTATTTTTTTAATTTCTTTTCTTTAATACATTATCATTTTTTTATTTGGAGGTATAAAACAGATTTGATTTAGTATATCATATGCAATCAAAGAGAAATACTACAATAAAATAGGAAGAACGCCTTTATTGAAAAGAAATGGTAATTACTTATTATTGTTGATTTCATTAAATGTCCAAAAAAAAATACAGAAATCCTGACGGTGACAATGGAATCGATATTAAGTTAAAGCACAACGACCAAAACTTTTTTGCTTTTGTGTTTACACATATATTTTTATCAAAATTTAGTTATTTTATTAATATGAAAGTACTTCTTTTTAAAATCTACTTTATGTGTATTTAGAGTATAAAAGATCTTGCATGCGATGTCATTTTTGTTGACTTTCTTGATCCCAGCAATTGCATACTTTATACGTATGAATTTTATTATCATTGTAATTTATTGGCGCACTTTTGAATATTAGAAGATTATTCTTTTAATACATCAACTCAGAATTGATTCATACACATTAATGGAAGTTCTATAAAACAATTAAAGGTTAAATAATGGCTATGATGTGTTTGGAATGAGCTAAATCGATTTGCTTGACATCGTATTAAAAGAAGAGCCCTTCAACGATCACCATCTAACACTGACGCCAATCTAAATCTGGAGAACATTGGTCTTTATCGTGTTAAAACTTGATTTCTGTCAATATTATGAAGGAATTTACCAATAATAAATTAATATATCTTAATTAATCGAATTTATTGAAAAAATCATATGTAGTAAGTCTTAACCGGATATCTCGGTAACCCGTTAATTTCCTTCTATTGCACAAACACTTTTATAAATAACTAACGATATTATACTCGTAATTTTACTCATTATTATTAGTAACAAGATGCAGTATTGCCATCTAATTTCTGCTCTTACAAGTTAAATTCATAACTTTGGATACAACAGCTGTATGCTTGAATTTAGAAGTGGAGATTAAGGATGGATGCTTTCTATAATTTGGAAGTCATTAGATTATAAATAATGAAAGTTTCAGGTATTCACTATAACACTTTTTTTTCTTATACTATAATGCACATGTTATAATAACAAAGTTATCTTTAAAAATGATATTTCATTAACTAAATTAATAATTTTCATATAAGCCTTAAAATATCTTTATATCGAAAATCGATAAATACGTACGCTTTACAAACATGTTTTCACAATATGCTAATAGTTCCTTCAAAACTCTCTTTTCTTCCAAATCATCTTTATTTAGACGCGGCCGTTACAAATTAACAATTCTAGTTTGTTCGTCAAAGTCACAAAATTTATTTCATAAATATTTACTTCCAATTATTGCCTGCTTAAATAGTCATGCTTGTTTATTATAAATAGTAATTGACGCTTCTAACTATATGATAGATTATAAACCAAATAATTTCTTTTCTAGCGAAAAATGGGAACACTCTGAACATATTTTGAATTCACCTAATCCAAGAAAATATAAGAACTGCGACGGTAAAATTGAAATTATCCTTCACATAATTGTAAATGTGCTAAATAAATGGTCTAACGAATAAAAAAATGCAAATTACATAATTAATAATAAAAACAAACTGAAATACGTATAATGTATGATATTGGAGTTTAATAAACAAGACAAAATGAACAATTTCTAAAGTGTAAGCATGACGCTTTTTTGTTTTCTAATACAATCAAAAATAGATTCTGACCGTTTTAAAGTGCAGTGATATTTGCAATCAAATAATCTATTGTTGCGTCGACTATAATAATCAGTTAAAGAGAGGTTTTTCGCAATATAGATGAGAGCTAGACTAGATTATTTACGATCAAGGGGTTTATTTGGGCGTTCTAAGAGTTTCACGTGGCGACTTGTATGCTGATCGACTTTTTTTTAGTAATAGGGTGTTTAAAAAAATAAATAAAATAAAACTACTCTTGTAATCAATATAATAACAAAATCTTGTTCTATTCAACAAAATCAAATAATTGTTAACATAGCAGGATTTATTGATATGGCCTGGTCAAAGAAAAACTCAATATCCAAATAAAAAACAAAATATCAATTCAACAAAATCAACTGCTTATTTAGAGTGGAGGCGCATCCACTACTTGCAATAACTTGCAAGTAGGGTTCCGAACGATTCGGTAATTATTCGAAAAACTCGTTTCGAATAATTACCGACGGTTTACCGAAATGTGGCTCAATGAATCAATACGTATCAAGGTTTGAAAGTTTTCTGAATTTGCCAAAATATTATTCATGATATTTGACCATAATTTTTAACACACTAAATGCTAATAATTAAAAATATTTGTTAGGTTCTATTCCACTTATATATATAATTTTATAAAATTTTGCACATTGCTTCACGAGATATTATACGAAACGTAAATAAATTGCCACAACGCATCGCATTTAACGATTATTTACGTTTCGCATAATATTTCGTGAAGCAATGTGCAAAATTTATATAAGTAGAATAGAATCTAGCAAATATTTTTAATTATTAGCAGTTAGTGTGTTAAAACTTGAAATTCTGGTCGATTTTACGTTCAATATTTACGAATTAAATTTTATACATATATTGATATCACCATTACCGAAATTACCGTACCGAAAATCTCGGTAAGATAAATAACGGTCCGATAAATTTCGTAGCCCTACTCGCAAGATTTGATGATATCAAGAAAATGAAATAATAGTATATTCACAGTAATATTATTACAGGTAAGAACTTTGTTATTTTTTATTTAATCAAAGCATGTATTTGCAAAGGCTCAAAAGCACCTCTATATACAGGGTGAATATTATACTAATTCTAAGGTTAGTATTTACTTCGGTTTCTTTGGGATTTATTAGCAACCATCAAGTATCTATTGTTCAATTTCTAATATATTTTCTTAAAGGACTATTG